CTCTGCTGCTGGTGTTTCCTATCATCTTTTAGTTGATATCATCGTGCAGCGACATTTCAACTCGGTGGAGCAATTCGCTGACCGAATTCTGAATGACACCGTCCATCGCCTTCATAATGAGTTAATGGCTGCGAAATCCTTAAGCCCCATGCGTCGATGCTTCCGCCACATCCCTTGTCGCACTTCGGCCTATCGGAATTCCATACTGCCATTTCTAGCCCGGTGTCTCACCTGCAAAGATGTTGAAAAACAAAAACTAAAACTCGATCTTTCACCTTAAAGTACTTTTTTCTTCATATATAATTATATCCACCTGTCCAATACCTGTTAATCTCTATGGTAATCACTGTGTTCTGGAGAACCGTTTTTTGCTGAAAGTTTTGAAAGTTATTTTCAAAATAAAGCATTCCTCTCTCTAGAAAATCACTTCAATTTTGAACCGGACCTGCCGTTACACTTGCATTCAGGGTTTCCAAACTGCAAGCTGTACATTTGCTACGTATGGAAAAGTACACGTTTCCCTACCGTATTAAGAGAAGACCATGTGGCGTTCATAAAATTTAGCAGTGGATTTGAGCCAAACTGTTAAATTTACAAGCCACATTAGTAAATACAGAGACATGAGGTTTTATGAATGGTCATTTCAAGGCATTAAAAAATCGCACAATTAGAAACTTTTTTAAAACCGTATTATACCATTCCTTTGAGGATACATTTGAAAGAAGACGCCCTAAAAGGGGGACCATCTAGGGGTCATAAAATGTAGCAGTGTATTTGAGGATACAACTGAAAGAAGACATCATAAAAGGGGACCATATAGGGTTCATAAAATGTCGCAGTGTATTTGAGCCATATTGTTAACTTTACAAGCCACATTAAATGCTGAGACATGACGTTTTATGAATGACCATTTCACGGTATTAAAATATCGCACAACTGGAAACTTTTGTAAAAACGGATGATGTCCATCCTTTGAGTATAAAATCCGAAAAAGACGCCAGTTTCTACCGGATGAGGGAAAAATTGAATATTTTTATGCATGTTTCCCATGAAATATAATTGATTTTTTAGGACATCGAAAATCGATGAGAAAAATTCATGCTACTCAAGTAGTCATTTTCTACAGAGTATAGTTCTTGCATTCAGTCGGAAATAAGCTCATTCGAAGGCCTACACCCTGAGGTAACTTGATTATAATAGAATTATGTTGCATGATGATTACTTTTACAGTCCTACTTAATTAATCTTCTCGAAACGGGAACGCATTTCAAAATTTCGGTTGACATTTCATGAGTTAGCCCACCTACTGTACGGAGGTCGCACGATATACCAAACTCGACAGTACCGGTACTAGTCAGAAGTCCAAGCCCGTGTTTCAGTGATATTCAACCGCTGTGGTTGGTGGACTCCGGCCGAAATATTCATGTCCATTTTAATTTTGAGTGCATAAACCTCAAATAGAATGATTTACTCCAAGTTGACGATTACTATCTGAGGAAATTAAGAAGCCGCAATTTCAAACCTGCAGTATCACGGGGAACGCCTGTGACATGCAGCGGCCAAATATTGTGAAACACTTACTGGTCTTCATTCGGCCTACCAGGCGCCGCTCAAAAGGCTGCAGTCAGTTCAGACGGGACCGACAGCTCTGGTGAACAAACCGCGGCTCTGACATCTTCACAGCAGGGGGAGAGAGCCAGCCGGAGGTCACACGACCAACGCGAGACATCGACTTATCAAGGCGCCCAAACAGCCGAGCGTGATTCGCACATGCAACGGCAGCTGATCAGCCCCTTCGGGTTATGAGGGGAGGGCCCACGGGCACACGGACCTCGCAGCGACAACAGCGACCGCGCAGGGGACAGAGGTCACCGGAGCGTGCTATCGGCCGCCCGCGGAGGAACCAAAGCCAAATCCAGCCAGAAGGCAGGTCAGAGTTCATGCGTCAGGCATGCCTATGACACAAGGCAGGCGGCGAGACAGAACAACTAGGGGCCAGCAGGAACAGACACCCCACCACTCTGATGATGGAAACGAGGAAGTTTCCGAAACGTCAGCACCAATACACTGTGGTCCATGCAATCGCGCCTTTATCTTCTTCGTCTTCTTTTGGGGAGGATGAACGATATATACATGGCCTACCGACGGTACACAAACCCGGTCTCCCTCTTCAGCCAATCGTTTCAGTGCGCCGTACACCTACATATAATCTGGCAAAATGGCTACTCCGCAAACTGATCTCTCTCACCTCGAACGCAGCCACGACCGTCTGTTCAGCGGCTCAGTTCCTAGAACGGCTCAAAGGCATCCGACTTAGAGAAGACGAGGTCATGTTGGCATTCGATGTCACCACTCTCTTCACCTCCATCCCGCAATGCCTAGCAGTCAAAACGGTTAGCGAACTGCTCGAATGCAAGTACGACGAGACAGACGAAAGCGTACAACCGACTCGTCTCATTCAACTGCCGAAATTCTGCCTGAGGACGTTCTTTATCTTCGAAGGGAGGGTGTACGAACAGACCAAGGGGACGACAATGGGATCACCGCTTTCAGGCTTCATCGCAGAAGCAGTTCTCCAAAAGGTAGAGATTGAGGTCTTCAAGACCTACAGGCCAACATTTTGGGCTCGATATGTCGATGATACCTTTGTCATCATCAAGCGGGAAATGGTTCAAACCTTTCACAATGTCCTGAATTCGGTTTCACCTGATATTCAATTCACATTGGAGGCCGAAAGCAACAACAAACTACCGTTCCTAGACGTACTGGTTCACCGGAACCCAAATAGACATATGTAAACAACGGTGTATAGGAAGGCCACCAATACGGGCATACAGACCTTGCAGTGAATACGACAGCCAGGAAGGGGGCAGAGGTCACAGGAGCGCGCCAGTGGTCGCCCACAGAGGAACCAAGGCCAATCCCCAACAAGACGGAAGGTCAGAGTTCGTGCGTCAGACAAGCCTATAACACGAGACCGGCGGCGAGACAGAACAGCGCTGGGCTAGAAGGAACAGGCACCCACCACTCTATGATGGAAAAGAGGAAGTTTCCGAAACGTCAGCATCAGTACAGTGTGTTTCATGAAATCGCCCCTTTTTCCTCTTCGTTTTCATTTCCGGATGATGGGCGGGATACATACAAATGTATCGCTCTCACTACTTACAGAAGAAGACGAAGAATCGAGGGCGAGTCCATGGACCAAATTGCATTCGTTCTGGCGTTTCGAATGCTTCCTGGCTTCCATCATCAGATTTGCACGGTTACTGCTCGTGCTGATTTTGATTTGTTCAGTCTTGACGTCCGCATCGTATTATAGCCACGCTCGATGCAGGAAAATTGATCTGCCCGTTTCCTGTCGACATGCTTTGACCTTTCCAATGCTGACAACTAGTAGACTCGCGTGAACTTTGTCCCCCTTTGGGGCTGACGCATCTGCAGCTGAGTCGGCGTGTCTGTTGGTTTCCATCACGTCTGTTGGCTTTTTGGGGGGCAGCCATCTTGACCGTTCTGGCGTCATTGCGTTTTCCTACCTATGGAAACGATAAGTGACAGAGGAAAAAAATAGCAGGACGAAGTCGAGTGGGAATTTTGTGGCGGTTGAGTTCAGACACGTCTGGAGTTTGCGATTCGATAACGTCGGGGTCACCAATTTGTTGTGACCGGGTGGTATCAGTGTGTTCCTGTCTGTGCGCTACCGCCGCTGGGTCAGCCCCTAGATTGGAAGGAGAGAAACAGATGGCATCAGAGGAAGGGGGTTATTGTGCACAGAACCAGGAGTTGTCCTCTCAGGCGGCAGGGGCGACTGGCGAAACCGAGGCTGGTGTTGACTGCGTGCAGTCATGCCTGAGAGTCTCTGAGATAGTGGTGGCAGCCGCCTTTGTAGGCTCGTGGACAAAGCTCAAGTGGTGGCCAGTCAGTGTGTGTTGCATTTGTGCTGAAGTACTTGACGCCAGAACAAGTCTCCACTGGGCACGTTCCCCTGTCCCGATGCACGATTCAACCATGTGCATTTAGATGTCGTAGATCCTTTAACTCCATCCAGTGGCTATACTCACCTTCTCACCTGCGTTGATCGCTATACTCGTTAGTCGGAAGCCATTAATTTACCGAATATGCAAGCTGAGACCATTGTGAAAGTCTTCGTCAGTCGTTGGGTCGCCATATTCGGTGCGCCATCCATGATTACGACTGATCGAGGCGCGCAGTTTGAGTCCACACTTTTCCAAACTCTCCTCAATTTCCTTGGCCGTACACGTATTCGGACGACGGCCTACCACCCCGCGGCCGACGGCATGGATGAGCGTTTCCAACGCCAGCTAAGAACTGCACTGCGTGCCGCAGAAGATCCCAAAAACTGGTCAGACAATGTACCCGTTGCACTTCTTGGCATTCGTGCGGCACTGAAGTCAGACTTAGACTGCAGCGCAGCCGAATTTGTCTCTGGCACTACCCTCCCACTCCCTGGTGAGATGGTCACCCCAACCTCTCGTGGTGCCGAAGAGACTTCCGAAAATTTTGTGCATCGTGCGCGACCATTCATGCGCTCGCTTTCCCCGGTTCCACATCGAGCTCCATTGACCGAGCCTTACGTTGAAAAAGGCTTAGCCAACTGCACACATGTGTTCGTTCGGTGTGATCGTGTGCGGAAGCCGTTAGAATCACCATACGAAGGACCGTTCCGTGTGCTTGCACGTAACAGCAAGACCTTTCGGATCCTGCGAGGTGACAAAGAGGACGTAGTCAGCATCGACCGGGTCAAGGCTGCTGTTGCAGAGGACTCCCCGGACGTGTCTCAAGGACAAGCATGTGCTGCCCCATACCTCCTCGCACTCCTTTTCCACTTTCCCCACCTATCCCTCCGTCCCGTATACTTCCTCTTCCTTCTTGTTCGCAGCATCAAACTGCAACCTCTTCCTCCACTCTTAACTTGTCCACTACAACACCTTCTCAGCTGCCTCCAACAGTGCCTCCCGCATATATCACCCGCAGTGGACGTCACGTTCACTTTCCCGATCGTCTAGTTACTCATTTCTTCTAGACCTTTGTATGTCCTCCGGCGTTGTTCACGCCGCCCTCCGGTCATGGAGGCGGATGTGTCTGTGCTGAAGTACTTGACTACTTGACCTTTGACAATCTTGTCACGTTTGTTTTACTGTAGCATTTGTTTTAACATGACGAGGACTCCGCCGCTTGTAAGCTTCGCGCCGCTTGCATGCTCTCTGGTCAGGTCGTTGCACATTTTGAATATTAATTTTATTCACTCACTGGCCTTCCTTACCTCTCTCCGTTTATGAGGTTAGTAAGCCGTAGTTCGTTAGTTCGCGGGAACGACATAACCTATGTCACATTTGCCGAGGGGTGGTGTCCCAGTAGCTTTGGTTGGGGTTTTAGGAGGGAGGTGCGTTCAAGTGGCCGCATGGGCAGCTGCGGCTGTGCGGACGCAGGTATGCCCGAGCTGTCGCTCGTGTGACTTCAGGTCAGCGTGCCTGGAATGGCTCACTGTAAAGGCGTGGATGACCTTGAGGCAGCAAGGTCTTGGACAATGACGCCAGACCGATCATGATGGCTTTCCGCTAGAGGCTGACTGATCAATCGTTGCTGGTCGTGTGAGTAACTTTCAGTCTCGCTGGCGCATCGTTTAGACAGTGTTCGACGTTGATCACGTGACTTCCGGCCGTTCTCCTCTCCTGTTTTCCGTAAGCACCAGCTCTCCGTTCCACGTTCCCGCCTGTCCTTAAAAGGATCGTGCAGGCATCGTGTCTGGGAGGCGACAGCGGGTGGAATGTGGAGATGAAGTACCTACACACCCTTTCTGGATGACAGTTTAATGGCTTCGGTGGGGAATTCACTTGGTGTTTGCATCATTCCTGCCTGTCTCGGTTCCCACACTCATCTTCAATCTTCCTAATTTTGCCTCGTCACTGAGACTTCAGGGAAGTCGCGAGGTTCTGATTTCATCCAGCTAAATTACCTCGTCTGTGATGCCTAAAAGTCCGTTAGTTGCACCAGGTTTAAATTGAATTTACTGAGGTTTAAAAACGCTAATGATGCACCATGATCAGGTGAATAAAATGAGACCAGAGCTTGACAGATACCCGCTGATCTCTCCGACACTGGGTGCACCGTGACGCAGAAAGTTGCGCAATGAGACACACGCTGTATGCTTGGAAAGTCAGCATAGCTGGTGCGCACCATTTACACGGAGGCGTAGACAAAAGTACATCAGATGCATTAAGCTAAGACATTGTGCAAAGCAGACACCCGAGGGGCAGGAAAACTAATTGTAGGTCATGTTCTCACAGGGACGACAATTCTTCTGAGGTGACTAGTGATTGCTTGTGCTGGGATCCTTTTATTAGATGAATTTTGTTCATTAATTTTCGATGTCTTAAAAAATTAAATCATACTCCACGGAAAACATGCACAAAAATATTTCTTCTTTTACTCAATCGGTAGAAAATCACGTTTTCTTCCAACTTAATACTCGAAGTAATGGTATAATTAGGTTTTGAGAAACCTTTCCAATTCCCGAATAATTTTGAACCAGGCCTGCTATTACACCTATATTCAGGGTTTCCAAACTGCAGACCGTTATTTTCCGAGTATTAAAAACCATACATTTCTCTACGGTATTTAGAGAAGACCACCTGGAATTCAGAAAATTTGACAGTGGATTTGAAACATATTGTTAACTTTACAAGCCACATTGGTAAATGCAGAGACATAACGTTTTATGAACGGCCATTTTACGGTATTAAAAAATCTCACAATTAGAAATTTTTTGGAACTTAACTTCCCTCCTTATTGGAGTATAACGTTTAAAGAAGACGTAATGTTCTACCGAATAAGTAAAAGAATGAATATTTTTATGCATGTTTTCCATGAAATATAAATGATAGTTATTTCGGCAGATTTAGAAAAATTCATATTGAACCAACTGTGAAAAACGCGGCGTGTCGGCCTTCGGTAGAACATTACGTCTTCTTTAAACGTTATACTCCAATGAGGCGCAAACTTAAGTTCCAAAAAATTTCTAACTGTGAGATTTTTTAAAACCGCAAAATGGCCGTTCATAAAACGCTATGTCTCTGCGGTTACCAATGTGGCTTGTAAAGGTAACAATGTTGTTCAAATCCACTGCTTAATTTTATGAACCCCATTTGGTTTCCTCTTAATACGGTAAATAAATGCATGGTCTTCCTTACCCGGAAATTATATGATTTGTCGTTTGGACGCCCTAAATGCAAGTGTGACGCGCAGATCGGGTTCAAAATTGTTCGGGGATTAGAAAGGTTTCTCAAAGCCTGATTATACCATAACTTCGAGTATTAAATTGGAAGAAAACTCGATTTTCTAACGATTGAGTAAAAGAAGGAATATTTTTGTGCATGTTTTCCGTGGAGTATAATTAAATTTTTAAAGACATCGAAAATCAATGAACAAAATTCACCTAATCAAAGGATACCAGCACAAGCAATCGCTAGTCACCTCAGAAGAATTGTCGTCCATGTGAGAACATGGCCTACAATTAGTTTTCCTGCCCCTCGGGTGTCTGCTTTGCACAATGCTTCAGCTGTACTCGCGTGGTACCACAGCAACTACAGCAGTCTTTATGTCTTCCCTACCGTTATATACGACCGTCTCTGAGGACGGATTCGAGTGAGAATCCGAAACGTCGGGCCAAGAAACTTTTTGTTCCAGTGATCGCGTTATTTTCTTCTTCTTCTTTTTCTTCTTCTTCAGCTGATATGTCTCACTGTCCCATTTCAATGCATTACGTCGTTCCAACAAGAAGAAAAGATACTAGTGACTGTTTCTCAGTCTTGCGGGTGAGAGAGAAGTTTTTTGATGAGTTGACGTCATTCCAAGTCAGGAATTTTGCCGACTTTTGGCAAACCAACGCGGCAGTCTCACACATTTGCGATTCCAACAGCTCAACCTCTATGTGTGAAAGCATGGTGTATTGTGTGTGTGTGTGTGTGTGTGTGTGTGTGTGTGTTTTGCCCCCCCAAACGGTCCACGTGTTAGGTGCGCTGGACCAACACGAGGGCCACATCGGATTCTGGCAGGCGTTATCCTTGCGCAGTAACAAATGCCATCATCTAGAGGGTGCGCTGGCAGACTCTGTCGTCGGCAGCCGTCGCACAAACTTGGACCCCTGCCACAACCCGCATTGTTTTGGCGGTCAAAATTCTGGTTATTGTTGTGTGGACCAGAGGCTGCGGATTGGAGCGACAAGGTGAGGGTCCATCAAGCCATCTACCTGCGGCCTCCCTCGTCTCCGGTTTTCTTAACTCTGTCTCGACTCCGTACTCAGGCGGAGAGGAGGAGGGAGTGTGGTAGATGCAGCGCAAGTCTACTGGCGCTATAAACCCCTGCGCAAGTCACAGTCCCTGCCCCCCCCCCACATGCTGTGGGGCATACGGTGGACATCGACGGATGCGACAGTCGAACTATCGTGCGTCGGTGTGCGTGGGGGGTTCGGGTCGCGTTTGTGGCACGCGCAGACGGGTTGTTTAACTTGTTGATTTTCTGCGTCCGATCTTAGTATCAGCTGGTTAACAGGCTCGGACAGTAGACAAGTGTATGTGGAAGGAACAAGAAGGAGTGAGAGAGTGAGTGAGTGCGGACGACTGTCTCAGTCCATATCCCTTGGTAGAGACAATCTAATGCGTCTTTAAGGCACCATGATATGCTAAAAGCAGTAGCTTGGGATGCTGCCAACTGATGGTGTAACGCGGTCCCCCGCGGAGGATTAAGAG